CAGCAGAGAGATGTCACTGCAGCAAAACACTATTGTACACGGTACCAACGCTGTTCTAATATAGACAATGGGTCGTGCTCATATTATTTGTTATATTTTTATTATTTATTGACTCGCATAAATAACTTTGTTCGAAGAACATTTTATGCAGTTGTACTTTGCAGCACTTCACTTGCAATTTGCAATTTCTAGTTTATATTTATTCTTTGTTGATATCAAAAATCATTTGTGTGTACTGAACAGAGTTTAGTCAGACATTACACTTAAAAGCAAAAACACCAAATAAATATTGTTGCAGAGACAAATCAACTGACCTGACATTGGGGTTACCGCCATATTGGATACATAGCTCAACAAGTTTCAACGACGTTTGGGAATCCAAACCCACCGCCAGATGAAAAGCACTGACACCATCTTCTTTTGATATGCAATTTGGATCAGCACCTAATTCAAGAAGCTGTTTACTTGTACTAAAAACAATTTAAATATTTTAATAGTGTAAAATTTTAACATTTAAAAGTGTAAAACAATATAGTTTCTTGTTCAAAATTCATTAACAAAAAACCTTTTCTTTATGTTGGTAACACAAACATAACTTGCACAGGTTAGACAAAAATGCCTGATAGAGAAATATGAGAATTATCAATTATATAAAAATAAGAGGCTATGCAAGCAACCAAACCATGTCTGCGAAGGCCTAAATTTCACCAAGATAAGGAGGACTTTCATTTGGCTAAATTGTACCAATGCACCACAATAGCTGTTTTATGGGCACCAGGTTTTATAGTCTAATTTGAATAGCTTAGTGGTAAAGATGCTTGCCTCTTAATCTCAGGGTCCTGGGTTTTTTTCACGACTAAAAACAACTCCACACCCTAAGCCTCTTAAAGAGACTTTGCCAACAAAAGCATCATTATTTCATATATTTAAAGAGAGCCCCTAAATATCAGCTAACTTCCTAGTACTGTATACGCTGGAAGTTTCACCCTCTATAAATATTGGGAAATAAAATAATTTCGGTTTTTTTTTTTTGTATGCTGCTGCTGCTTCTACTTATAGATACTCAGCACTCCTTTAATCAGGATGTCTTGCTGAGGGAGATCCACATTCCCTCGAAAAGTGATCTAACAGGTATAACTTTATTCAATGCACACAACTTTATACTCACAAGTTAAGTCTTACCTGTAATCATGCAACTTCAACGACTCCATAAGGTCTTTGTAATTAGCTTCCATCATGGAAAATCATCAAATTGAGAGGCATAACCTACATTACAACAAAACAAACATGTGGTAGGTACTTGTTTATCAAACTGGTGGTTTATACAGTAGGCCTAACTGCCTATCCCAAATCATTCCTGGGTGGGTCAATTTGTTTTTTAGCCTCAATTCATTTTTTAAAGCAGTATTTTGTAATGGTAATGGTAATGGTGGGATAAAAAAAGGTAGGACCAAGAATTTAAAAAATTAACGTATATTATATCTAATATTAAAGAGCCTATATTAATCAGAATATTTTTTAAAAATTTAATTTATTAAAAGTTAAATAAATATAAATAAATTAATAAAGTAAATAAATAAACAAATAGAAAATAAATAAATAAATAATTGATAAATTAAGCCTTCAAAAACAGGCAGACCAAAGAATGGAAAAACCAAGCAGCAACATGAAAAATGCGCACTCCTGTTGTTGAGACGGCGTCACCACCACTACCGCGTACACGCAGGTACTCCGGCGACAGTATGCTGGGCTCCGGTAGCTTCCACCTTGGATAAGCCTCGGCTCTACTACCGTGCACTGCTAAGGTGGCGACGCCGGCTCAAGTACGGGAGTTGCGACTTAATGAACAAAAAACAAAACACTTAAATACTCTTAAACTACAAAAATTGTAAAAAGATAAACTTAAAAAAGGTGGGTTTTAAGTTTCTTCTTAAATGTATGAACAGAAGTTGATTCACGGATAGAGGCTGGTAGGGTGTTCCAAAGTCTTGGTGCAGCGACAGAAAAAGCCCTATCACCATAAGTTTTGAGTCGCGATGCTGGAACGGATAGTATGAATCTATTGGTCGTTGATCTCATAGACCTACTACAAGTTACAGAAGTTGAGAAATGTATTCAGGTGTCTTGTTGTGCAGGGCTTTGTACGTAATGAGCAGAATCTTGAATGTGATGCGCTTGTCAATTGGTAACCAGTGTAGATGATGGAGAACTGGTGAAATATGTTCACGCCTGGAAACTCCAGAGACTAAACGAGCTGCCGTGTTAAGGCATAGCTGTAGTCTATTTAAACGACAGGCGGGAAGACCATACAGATTTGCATTGCAATAATCTAGCCGTGATGTTATAAGTGCATGAACTAACTTCAGAAGAGCATTTTTTGTTAGGAACTTTTGAATATGCTTGATGTTGCGCATTTTAAAAGTTAAGACTACGGTACCGTACGCTATCTCGGTAATGGTGAGCGTCCCTAGCTGTTGCCAACTCTAACCGAGAGAGCACATGGTACTGTAAATATAGACACATCAAACATTTATTTTGACATAAATAGTATAAAATGTTCTGTTGTTTTATTTGATTGTAAAAAGTTTTTAACACTTTTTTAACAGGACAAACTTGTCATATTTAACACCATTACAGCAATATAACACACTTTAGGCCAAGGTTAACTGTATATTTTATTAGAGTAAAAACCTTCATGACTAAACCAAAGCCAAAACGTTTGGCCCTACTCAAGCTGGAATACAATAAAATTTGGTATGGCATGACAACACAGGTGTACGGTAAGAATGGCCCCGGAAAAAATGGCCCAGGAAAAAATGGCCCCGATAAAAATGGCCCCAAATAACAGGTAGGTAAAAATGGCCCCAATAATAAAATTCTATATTAAAACTGATTTTTTTTTAAAAATCATTATATGCATTTTTTTTAACTGAAATAATTTAGTTTTAAAAAGGAATCTAACATCAAATAAATTGTAATTTACATTTTACTTTTTGCAGGAATTACATTCAATGATAAAATATTCAAAGATATAAAAAGGCCATGAATAACACTTTTTTATTTTTTTTTTCCCATTTAAATGTTAAAAAATAGCAACAACATAATCAATAAATCAACATAAATCATGCATTTATTAAAACTAAAATAATTTATTTGTGGCATCACAATTTTCTAGAAATTCAATCCGGGTATTGGTAAACCCCACAAACAATGAGTTTATATGAACATCTACTGTAATCATAATTAAAGGGTTTGGATATGGTTCGCAGTGTGTTTGGAGGTTTGTGGTGTATATGCAAGTATTTTTTCAAAAAAAAAATCAACATTTTAACCAAAAAATAGGTTCTTATGAATATTTAATTTTCTTATTGATATACCAAGTGAGTCAATCACAATTGAATTGTTTTCTACAGTGTATTTTGGGAGGTTTGTGGGATTTAGAAATACCATTTAATCCTACCATAATTATATACCTACCCTCACAATTACACACCATTTTAATTTTTAGCATAATTGCCATATTTACATATAGGATCTCAGTTTACATTATTTAGTATAGTTTTAGGCACTTAAATTTAGTTGGCGGGGAGTAAAAACCAAGTATGCAATTAAATAAGTTGCTTTAATGTTAGGCCTATTCCTAATTATTCAGTTTACTTTAAATACAATATTTGATTAACAAATACTTCTTTGAAGTAACTCTAAGAAGAACATTTATTGCTAAGTTTGCAAGAAGGTAAGTCTCCCTTTTCCCATAAAAAATGAACTGTTTATTTGCACTGTTTATAACATGTAAATTTATTTCATTTGATACTTACAAAAGTGAATTTTGTGGTTATCTATGAGTTGCATATTTTGGTAGTTAATTAGTGGAATAACGTTTTTAAAACTTATTTCTGCTATCAAAAAAAGTTATTCAATGGCCATTGTTTTCCGGTAATCTCTCAGTACATTATTTGCATCTGTTGTGTAACTGTATTTGTTATTGATTCAATTCTTGCTTTTTACAGCTAGTATTTAAATATTTGAAGATTTTAAAAAAAAAATCATTTCTATTACTGAATTTTTTCATTGGGGCCATTTTTACCTACTTGTCATTTGGGGCCGCCATTTTTACCTACTTGTCATTTGGGGCCATTTTTACTGGGGCCATTTTTACCGGGGCCATTTTTTCCAGGGCCATTTTTACCGGGGCAATTTTTACCGGGGCCATTTTTACCTACATTCGACAACACAATGCCACAAAGGTTGTTTGTATAGGTTAGGCCTACTGTAACATTAAAAGCAATATTATTAGTATTCATATCAAAAATATGTGCATTCACCTCAAGTTATGTTTTTCTACTTCAGTATGAATAGAAAACATGAAGCATTATATAGGCCTAGACCTACGGTACAAGCAACATATCATCATGAATGTCATTTAATTCAATAACTCTCACACTAGGCTAGGGCCTGGCTGAGGCTACAGAGTAGATTGCATCACTTAAGAATTAAATTACAAGAAGAAACACATTTTTAATTTGTTAGAAACGAGGGCCTTGTAGGTCTGTTTATAGACCAGAGATAAGAGGCTTAATACATCCCTACCGGGAATGGTAAAGCGTGCTGAGATAGGCTAGGCCTATACTTTATGGAAGTTTAAGTTTCTAGTCAAAACGGCAATAAACCAAAACAACTATAAGTCAAAACAGCATTAACTAAAACAGCAATAAACCAAAACGACAACACTTCCATTCACCAGAACGGCAATGGACTCAAAAACAGCAACAAGTCAGAATGGCAATAAACCAAAACAGCAATAAAATTTGCACAAGGCAGGATGAATAACAATAAAAGATAATACAAGGATGGCCTATGAAAGTAAAACTTATTTCCAATGTGGTCCTACCTGTACATAAAACCAATTATAAACATGGTCCTACATAAAACCAATAAAACCAATTATAAACATGAAAATGTACAAAGATTAAATACGGTAAAAATTTAATAAATTCATCATATATTTAAAATATATATAAAAACAACATTAAACTACAGACAAAATGAGGCTAAAACAATTTGTCATAGAAGTAAAAAACGTGAAAATACAATAATAATAATAATAATGATAATAATGATAAAACAACATACAAATTCAAAAATAAAAGGATTGGGGGCACAGGGTTCTCACCAGCATTTTGGATTGGTGGTCGGCAGAGGGATGATAACTGAAATTCATAAATAGCTGTTTAATTATAACGTACTTAACTTGATACCATAGCATTTTATTTAAATCATTAAATGAATTATTAAAACCATTGTGTAAATTTTCAAATAAAAGTGATGTGTATGCTTTTCACACTACTCACGTCAGTTGAAAGACCACACTTGACAACTACTGTATTCAGGTATATGCCTAACCATGGAATTTCCCTGCTAAATATAACTATTTACCACAAAATCAAAAAGATATTCTTGGCCTAAAAAGTCTGTATTTTTGTACAATATTCAATCATCACAAAAGTAAATACAATTTTAATTATATTCAAACACATTTTTACCCACGTCGTCATTAACAACACAAATGTCCAAACTGTCTTAGTCGGGTTGAGCCCTTATCGAACGTGAGGAATAGCAAAGTGAAACCATGTTGCACAGAGACAACGTGATCCACTCATATGGAGAGTATGGAGCAAGAAGTAAACCACCTCATCCGTATTTATATACAATAATAAATCATCACAAAGTGAATATCATTTTAATTATATTCAAATACATTTACCCACCTCGTACGCCCAAACAATTTTAATCGGGTCGAGCCCTGATCGACCGTGAAGAACAGCGAGTAGAAAGACCACTCTATGGAGAATGGAACAAGACAACTTCGTCTGTCATATTGCATAGAATATGCGTGCATTTTTTTAAGATATTTAATCATCACGAATAAAGTATTAGTCAAAACAAATATTGTTAATTTTATTAGAGAAAAAGACAATTATTAGTGAACCCTGGTCCACTCTCTGAGTCTGATGGGGGTACTGAATGCAGAGGCTAGAACAAGAATAAACGGCTGCAAACGGCAAAAAGATGTTGTCATGATGTGAGTAGTGAAAAGAATTTAATTAGGCTTACCAACTCATTATTACTTTTTTGAAAAGTTAATTTAACACAGTGATTCATTTAATATATTTAATGATTGAAATACATACCAACTTAAATTATGATTATTAACACATGATAAAATTATAATTTATCCAAACTGAATTTAACAAGTCTATCTACGATTGCCAAACCTCCGTGGTTGAGCCGTAAACTGTTTAAAAAATGTATGCGACCAATTCAGGGTTTCCCCATGCGCGTTAATTTGCTGTCGATTGTGTGTTGCTCAATAACAACCAACAATACTTGCCTAGGCCTAGTAATAGATCTTCCAAAATAATGTTACCACGGAGACATTAATTGATATCTTTTGTCTTATCTAAAGTAGCAAGCAAGTTAAATTGTCTAGCCAGTAGCCTGGTTCACGTCAAACTTTATCTAGATATACCCGTCTTGAAACATGATACGATAATCCCCTAATTGTGTTCGATGCCAAGTTAGAGCCAGATAAACAGCCAGCCAGTTTCAGGGCATCGACGTCACACGGTGGAAAGGCTTGTTTAATAAAACATCTACTGTGGTAAACTACTGTGGTAAACTACTGTAGAGAAGGTGCGAGTTTCCACTACCTAACCTAGCCGACCACTACGAACCAACGACAGTGCAGCAGCGTGTTCTATCGCAATCTAAGTAGTAGATTCTCTAGGCCATAGCCACATTTACTTCGATAAAAAACGAATTATTTTAATCGCTAGCTAGCATTCTTCCATTTAACAAAATATTGTTTTAATTTTCATTAAAACGTATGTATACTTTGTTGTTGCCAGCCAGAAGATGATAATATGGTGGTACAATACAACAACGCTGGCTTAGATGCCTACGTTACGTAATCGTGTCCTTGTAATCCGAGCCGACTTTACCGTTAGGCAAGTTAATTTACCGTTATTCTAGTAAAGTTAAAGTCACTTAACTTAAGTGACTTAATTCCTTTATCTAGCTATAATTGAGTGGTTCACGTCGAACTTCTAACTAGTTAAGTGGATGTATATCTAGATAAAAGTTCGACGTGAACCAGGCTAGTGAGTCATGTAATGAAAGTATTTTGTTAGCGCTTTCACTGTTCCCTGGTTAGCCTACATTGTTTTTTACACTATCAATTTCAGAATTCATGATGGTCGGCAGCCTGAAATACTGGTCAGAAATGTTGAGTGCTGGGCAGGCCCGACCACTGCCGACCAGCGTGGTGAGAACCGAGGGGGGGGGGCACGAGACAATATAAAGCAGTAAACATTCAAATACTGTAAATAAAACAATAAAATACAGAAAAAATGAGGCATCTAAAAAATTTGTCATAGATATGTAAAAATTTTAAAAACAGCAAAATTTTAAAAGCAGTAAAAAGAGCCCATGGCAATATTCGATTGCCTATAATATGGTGCTTCTTGGTATTGTCGGAATTTGTTCGTTCCTTTTGCCTTTTTAAGTTTTTGCACGTGTGGGACGTCTGTTGCCGTTTTTGGTACTTAACATTACATTGCCGTTTTCATTAATTGCCATTTTGATTTAATGCTGTTTTGACCTGCTACCAAGGCTATCCACACATAGGCCGAGGTTTAGCCTAGGCCTAGCCTAGCTAGGTACGATACTAGACTTAGCCTAGGCCTAGGCAGAAGAGAAGTAGCCATCCCCCCATCATCACTTATCAATCAGCCGCTTAACTTAGTAACTTAGTCCTCTAGTCTATCATGCGTTAAGTAGATATCAAATCGACAAATGAACATGTAATTTAATATTGTACAAAAGTACTGTAATCATCAATATAACTACGTTTAAGAACATATTTAAAAAATGTAAATTTCAATAATGGCGCCTTAAAATTGTTTACCTCTCTCATGTTCGGCTTCTAGTCCAGGATTGTACACGCATGACACTGTGACACAAAGCGTCAAATATTAGATTAAAGTGTCACCCAAAGCGTCGTAAAAGACAAGAGAAAATACCTCAAAATTTCAAATAAAACTTTGAATAACTCATTAAAGAGGATCAAAAAAATTAATATTACCTTCCAACAAGAAACAGATCGAAATAAAGGTAGTTTCACCAAATTACAGACTTTTCACAACCGTCTGAAAATGTTTGTTCTCATTGAAATAAATGTTTAAAATTTGGCCTAGTATATTTTATTTACTGTATCCTGAGTTGGTTATACGTAATTTCTATAAGTTTTCTCTTGTATTGCTATTTACTTGTATTTTGAATAAATTAGAAAAAAAAAATTACAAAATTATAAATAAATGAGGAATAAAAGAAAATTACATTCATATTTTGAGTCTGACAGTGCCATTTCCGGATATCTAGATGTGCCATGCATAAAAATTCCCCAACCGGCCGGCATGTATATGGTCTACCCCTCAGTGACTTTCTGACCCCTTCCATTTCGAATTCCAGGATCCACCACTGTAAAAGTAAACTCCTAGTAGGCCTAAATTACATTCAAATCTTGAGTCTGACAGTGCCATGTCCAGCCATGTAGAAGTGTCAGACATAAAAGTTTCTTACCTCAGCCCTAACCGTGGGTCGTGGAGTCCTATTAATTACATTGGATCACCACTTTTGTTTGTGGCGAATCATCTTCTACCTATAGTCTTATTGTTGGAAAATTGACAATAAATAATACTTAGACATATAGGGGTAGGTGAAGACTTTTGACATGTCCCTAGGGGTTCGCGAATACAAAAAGGTTAGGTTGGGAACCACTGTTATATTTTATTTTTATTAGCTACATTAGTTCTACTGCATGATAATGGACTAAAATGTTTTTTTTTTTAATTATCGTTGTTTTTGTTTGACCATTGTTCGTTTCTTTTTCTTTCTTTCTTTCTTTTATAACGAATTCAACCAACCGGTAGTTTTCAGTGGCGTCGAGAGGGGGTCAGGGAGAGGGGTCGCTGCCCCGTGGCCCGGGTCTACTGGGGGATCGGACCAAGATCGGGGTAAGAACAAAATCTCCATAGGGCCCGAGCCCAAGCCAGGATGAAAACTTTTGTTGTCAGAACAAACTCTACATTATGGTTTTATGGGCGTCTCTCAGTCTTTCTGTAATTTTTTACTAGGATGAATAATCCCCCAGGAGAATAGTCCACCCAATGCTCTCCCGTTCCAAACTAGATGCCCCCCACCCTCAATCCATATGTGCTTCACCGTCATGAAATCTCTGTCTGTGGTCATACAGATCCGGGAGGGGGGATGCCACTGTCTTGCATATAGACTTTCTTTGTGGTCGGGAATCTGCATTGGTTGGGGAACGGCCGAGTGGGGGTCCCAAGTGAAGGGTGGGGGCCATGTGAGGTGTTGCCCCGGGGCCCTTACTGGCTCTCGACGCCACTGGTAGTTTTTCAAAGAGTTATATAATTTTGTTTTTCAGCTTGGTCGACGCAGTGGACTTCATCAAGTTGTTTTAAATATTGACGCATTATCTGCGGAGTTGACGCAAACCTACAATCTGATTCGCCTTCTCACGCAATACGAAATGTTTACTCCCTCTTTGATGAGGCGATCATCATAAACATCAAACAGGGAAAATGGCTGTTCACGGAGGAGGAAGAGATGAAGGTTTAACAGTCCTTGCTAGAGAAGCAGAGTCCTTAAAGACTAAATTGGAAGAGGAAAGGAAGAAACTAAATGATATAGAATGTATGTGTAATGCCGTTTAAATAAATGGTGATTTACTAGGGACGAATTTAAGGCAATATCTTGGCTGGCCTAGCTAGCTAGTTAGTAGTGGCCTGTCCCTACATGTACTACTACTACTAGGGGCCTAGGCCCTACTACTACTAGGCAGAGCTAGCTAGCTAGTAGGCCTGGCCTACATAGCTAGAAACAAAAAAAATTGAAATGTCCCAAATATTTTTTTATTTATTTTTAATAGAAGGACCTAACTGAATGAAGAATTTTAAAGCAAAAATTATGTAAATCGGACCAATATTAGCGGAGATATTGCTATTTTAAATATGTTTTTTGCTGGAGTTAATTCCTATTGTTTTCATTATACAAGAAGTGTGTCCCTTACAGTATAATTATGTAGCATTTTAGGCTATATTAAAATAATACTTGACAATTACTAACGATTATAATTTTAGTATATATATTTTATATTAGATTTAATAATTTTTATCAACTTATAGATTCTACGTATAATAAATTATATTGAATCGCATAACTCTTAGCCTAATTGCAGGCCTCAGACAACACAGTGGCCAGCGAGAAAAACATCGTTTACCCCGCGCTGCAAATTAACGAGGGTGCCCTCTATTCGTACGAGCCTAGCTGCGGTACGTGATAAGACAATAGAATTTTTATGCCATCTATTTCAATTAATATGCACACAAATATTATTTAAAGCTTACTTATCTTTATAGTTTAAAAACTGAAGAAAACAAACATGTTAACCAAAAAACTAGCAACGGTTTCCTTTTATTATTGAAAATCGACGAAACATTGGTTGTACTAAAAAAAACTTCAACTAAATCGATTTGCGCGCTTAAAAAGCCAATAACTTGGTCCAGAAATCATTTCTGGAGTGTTATCTGGAAGTAATTCGGTCAAATTGTTGTATACTTCTGCGAAATACCTAATTAATATATTGGATATCTTATCTTCGTCGGGGCACTATTTTCTATCGTGATGTTTGTATTGCCGATCTATAGCGCCCTCTTTCGGTTTTGTATCTAGCTACCTATTACCTCACTAACGTACCCCCTGTCACGTTCTTGCATTTAATTATTCATAATATTATAATATATAATAATATTATTTCATAATAACACTCTAATTATTAGTTACAAAAAATAATGGAGTATTACAGTATACTTTCACATAGGTCAGGTTAAATGCATACCTGCAACCGTCCCGATTTAATCAGGATCGTCCCGCTTTCCGATGTCAAAAACACCAAAAAATCAGGACGTCCTTATTTTAAGAATTTAAAAAAAAATAAAATAAAAATTACATTGTATTTGTAAGAAGTGATAATTTGAAGTAATATTAGTCCGTAGTTCCCTGGGTACAATCCCATCCGCATGAACGCGAAATTGGCCTGATTTTGAGGGGTGGAATTATACCCAGGGATTCCCTTGTGCATGAACAGAACAAAAATGACGATCGTTTTGCAAGGTGGTAGATGCATTTCAACGATTGACCTACGATTCAATAACCTATCAAAAACAATATTCCAGTGAAGAAATCAGTCTTGAGCACCAAGCAGAGAACACCTAATTGTAGTTTAGTAGGCCTAGGCGCCTAGCTACAGTACCTAGGCCATATCTTGGTCTTACATCGCGCTAGGCCGGCCTTTGCCTAAACTTGTTTTCTTGCATGATGTAACAAGTTATTTTTAGCAACGAATATCTGTGGGAACACACAAGTCTTCCCACTGTGAATTAACGATCTGATCAGCCAACTGGGTGGGTCTTTTCAGGGACGGACCGCAGTGTTGTCTATATTTAGCCGCAGTTTACGGCGACCAATACCTGTTCTAAGTTTCAAGTCGGCATAATTCGGAGACAATTCCTTTATTCTTTGTGAGCATTTGTTAAATTTACCGACCTAGGCCTAGGCCTACTCACCCAATTTATACCTTCAGACCCTGTACGTGAAGTTGAGTGTAAAGTCGGGGGTAGGATTATACCGGGGAACTACAGTAATATTTCATAGCAGTCCAGTAGTGACTGAGAGAGTTTTCTCTATTGTTGAAAAAAACAAGACCAAGCATCGAGCTAGCATGAAGTTGAACAGAGATATTACAGTAAGTGTCATTTGTCTAAATAATGACGTTATGACTCCGATAAGATTAGTGAAACAAGCAACATACTGTGTCCTTCATGGTGACGTCTGTATGCCTACTGATTAAAATGTAACTTAAATATTTGTGTTGGTTGTGAGGTAAATAAACAGTACATTTGAAATTAAGTAACTCTTGTTTTATTTAAAGCAACTGTACAGGAATTAGGATATAATTACCATCTTACAATTGTTTGGGGTGGGGGCATGCCGGGGGAGGCGTGGTACCAATGAATAGCGTTCCTATTTTTGATATTCAAATGTCGGCAGGTATGTAAATGTTACACAATATCAGCAAAAAGGTAAAATTAATTATGCCATCCTTTCTTATGAAAGCTAACACATTGTTAGTGTATCATTGGCCAAAACTCCTAAATACAACCAGGGAACAGTTAAATTATGGTAAGCTTTAAAACTACTTTTATATAAATCAGTAACTGATGTTATACTATATCCACAGTATGAGCACAATTGCACATTTCATTCAGTTCATCATTAGCACAAAAGAAATATGTTGAAGTATAAAATAAGCCTAATTTTCTTATGTTTTGCAATCTTAACAGAATATAGTGTCTTTCAGTACTGTATACTTTTGAATAGTGCCACTGGATAGCCAATCTAGTCTCCACGGTATAGCCATATTATTAATATGGGTTTCTTCATTGACGTAACCAATCTATCTAATTACTTTCTTTTTCAAAATGTTGTTGATTGGAAAATGAGTTAAAATATATGAATTGTGAAATTGATAGAAATATTAACAAAGGAACCTTTAAATTTTCAATTTTTTCATTAATTTTGACTGATTTCTTTATTCTGTGCCTTATTAAATGCAATAGATTAGCCTAGTTTTTTAATTGTCCAGAGTCTCCAATAGTATGTTCACCCATATTTAATAGTTTATTTTTAATTATATATTCATCAGATCTTATTTTGTTAGGTTCTACATAACGATATACAATGTGTTACCTTCATTATTTTCTGATTATATTCGACGTAGATTTGGAGAGTATAAGATGTAATTTCATTTCATTTATCTCTTCCCAATAGTACAAAGGAAAAAGACAACCATAAGAGAGAGGGTGGGGGATGCGAACAACAATGAGAGATGGGATTCCAGATAGTGTACTAAAATCACTATCTAAGTTGATCTCCCAAAACACTCTGTCCAAAAAATACAATTCACAAAAAAAAAAAGACAATAAAAATGTTAACATTAATATACATTTTCTATAGTAAAACATTTATCATATAAAATATGGAATTTAAATACATTATGGAAATTTTTCTAAAACGGTATATATAATAATATGTGGAAGTTTCACCTTACCAACCAGTGTTGGCAAAAGTTGGGAGGAGGGGATACGGTATTTAATTAAGTTGAAGGAGATCTTAGTTTAAAACTTTTTATAGTTTAATTTTTTGTTTATTCTGTATGAAATATAAGGATCAAGAAATGACTAGCCCAATTGACATTTGGTTTTCTGTTTAAATGACTTAGCCCTTGTTTTATTGTCTGTGGTATGAGCAAAGAGTGCATCTCACAATTTGTTGTACCTTACGGGGCCTAGGCTAGGCGCCATAAGCCTGCAACCTCAGCTGCTGGCCATCACATGCACTGTTAGAGAGAGACAAGTTTACACACATTTACAGTAGTCACACGATATTCCTAAATTTTATATGGTATTAAAGAATCCTACAATGAACAATGTTTATCGAAACATGTGTTTTATTTAATAAATTATTTTCCTGTAGGCCTAATATTCAAACACATTGATTGATGATGACTGAAGATTGTGGTATGTCATGGTACGAAAATTAAGTTTCTATTTTAACTTCTTAGTATACACTGCGCAGTGGTTGAACATTTGCAATCACAAGCAGTGGTGATCAGAACCTCCCTAATCAGTACACTTACTGAGTAGGTTAGAATAAGCCTACTGTAGAATTTACAATCATTTTTCGAGCTGAACATCGGAATTTAAGGTCAGAATATTGATTCAATAATTGAATTTCTTTTAAGTTTATACACATTTAATATAATCCACCAAGTAATTGAAAATACAATTTTTAAAATATTCTGATGTTGTTAACTTTTCACAAACATGTTGCAATTTGTGGAGATTCCCCATTTAGGCTTAGGGCCTAGATCTACATTGCATCGTCGTCTGCGAGTTTAGGCCTTGAATTACTGACAATTCTTGCTGTTTGTTGTTCATTATCATCTTTAAAAAAGTTTAAATTAATTTTTGGTGTAATTCAGTGATTAGAAAGTGTGACCTGAAAATTATTTGCGGCATAAAACTTTTGTGAATCATAAATTATAATAGTTTATTTGGATGCGAGTTTTGTGTCAGGAAAACATCATATGACTGATGTTTTGCCTTACCTGACATGTTATTGTACCGAATACTCACTACTTCCCCAAATACTAGCAAAAAAAAATCGTAAATGATTCGTGTGGGAATCGAACCCACAACCCCAAGGTATCTAGCCTGAGGTTACTATTATGTTCTCTTTTAAAACAAACCCAGAAAACTTGACGCTAATTGCTTAATACTGTAAATAAAAAGTTAAAGATTAAGAAGAAATTAAAAAAAAATAATAATCTGAGTAAAGGAAAGAAAGGAAAAGAATAGAAAGAAAGTACATAGAGAAACAAAAAAGGACATGGTACAGTAATGAAAGGAAAGAAACAAGAAGGGAGTAGATATAAGTATAGGAAAGAAAGAAAAAGGGAAATGGTAAGGATAATTGATAAATTGTATTTAAAATTTCGTCAGTTAATTTATTTATAATTGTAATTATAACAAACATAATACTGTTTGACTAGTAAATTTGTGAAATTTTGCCTCACTGCTTTGCTTTACCAACAAATCAATATATTAAATTAGTATAATAATTTTTCTTTTTGTCAAAGGTCACTGCGCCTCGGAATAGCATGCTAGATAGATGGCGCATTACAAGTGCTATTTTATTATTATTATTTATTAATTACAAAATGTATATTTCATTTTCTTTATTCAGTGATGGTGGTAGCTGAGAAGCTTGAAGCACTCCCTCAGCTGAGTATGAAACCTAGGCGCATCCTTAAAGGACATCAAGGAAAAGTGCTTTGCATGGAGTGGGCGAGGGATAAACGACATTTGGTCAGCTCATCCCAAGATGGAAAGGTGATAGTTTGGGATGCATTCACCACTAATCGGGTAAAACATCAACTATATTTTGAAAATATTATTGTCAGTGTGAACTGTTGGATGAATGGATATGACAGCCAATGCATGATAATATTGAGGGAGGTGTATGGGTAATGATAATGTCAGATTTGTTTAGTTAAACAGATGGTAATGATGTTACTGTAAAAGTGATGTTGATGTTGATGATAATTTGTGGTATGTGTTGGTAATAGTGATGAGTGTAGAATAAAGATGATATGATATTGGGAATTATGACGATGATGGTGTGGTAGGGTGGTGACGTCATTGAACAATGATGATGATAACAGCAATAGTTTTTAGTGATGATGATGATGATGATGACAAATAGCAATGTGTATTATAATTCAAATTCTGGTTACTAACAATGTTCATACTCATCTACAGGAACACAGCATCACCATGCCAACAACGTGGGTTATGGCTTGTTCTTATGCACCTTCTGGAACTATGGTTGCTTGTGGGTGAGTACTTGGCAGTTTATTGGAATCTTTATGTACTAGTAAGCTATATACAGTAACATCTCCCAATTACGAACCTCCCATTTACGAACTCTTGATTTTACAAACCCAATTTGTGGCGATGACGTCATTACGAACGACCGTTTTTAACTACAAAAACACTAAAATTGTATTTAATAGCCTTCAAAATAATATAAAGTGTTGCATCAGGTAAGATAGAAAACATTTAAACCAATTAAGTGACATAAAAATAAGTTTAAAGCAATTGTTATCATTCGTTTTCAGCCAAGATATATTACATTTGAGCTGTGCATGCTTGTTGAGAAGAAATGTATAGTAAATCTCACTTTTTTGTTAATTGGGGTCGCTATTCGCTTGGATTCGCGATCTTTATGAAGAGAATAATAACACTAGTTTCACCACACTGCGATGCTATTAAAATTTGAACTCTCTGAATTACGAATTTTCTCATACAAACTCTGTTTGGACAGAGGGGTATGTAATTGGGACATGTTACTGTACTTAGTATTTGTACTCTGAAACAGACTTATAACATAAATTGATTGTGTTTCCTTCAGGGGACTTGATAATAAATGTTGTGTATACATGTTGAACCAAGAAGAAGATCTGTCAAGTAAAAAGAGAGCCGTTGCTATGCATACCAGCTATGTATCTTGTTGTACTTTCACAAATTCAGATCAACAGGTGAGAAAAATAAAACCTTTATTGATCAAGATTTTGCCACTCTACTTTAAATTCAACCATTTACCAAGTAAAATTGTATATAGTTAAGTTAAGCTGAATATTTACTATACATCATAGAGCCACCTAAAAAGAAAAAGATAAGGCATTACAAATAACAAAATAACAATTATTTGCCATGTTTGATATCAGATACTTACAGGAAGTGGTGATAGTACCTGTGCATTGTGGGATGTTGAAAGTGGTCAGCTGTTGCAGAGTTTCCATGGTCATGATGCTGATGTCATGTCACTTGACCTTTCACCCTCAGAGGCCTGCCATACTTTTGTATCTGGTGTAAGTATTATTTGATTTTTAGGGAGATATACAAAATATTTCATTTAATGTATAATATTGTTTATTTTCATGAATAAAAAGATAAATGGATTATTTTATTTAGAAATCATTTAAAAAATGATATTTGGCCATTTCATAAGTGCAGGGTCCATTTGATGTTATTGTCTTCATATCTTAAATGTAATATTTAGCGTAAATGCTTGAATAAGCGGTCTCAAATAAGCGCCACACCAAACATGATTTTTTTCGTTAAACGCCGCTCTTGAATAAGCGCTTCATCGAGAGTATACATTACCCTGTGTGAACACTTTGAGAAACAGGGTTTTAAATACAACATATACAGTGTTAAAATGAGTAAATAACACAATGAAGAAACAAGAATTTCTTTATAAAAATTTGTCTACGATGCATTAGGACCTATGATAGACCTACTGAGCTACTGGAATACGTGAAATAGGTTACATGGGAACGGTCATGGAAAGCGCTGCGTAAATATTTTTCCATAAGTGCCGCTCTCAAATAAGCGCCGCACTGAAGCCTCCAAAAATTTTATAAGAGCCGCGGGGCTTATTCAAGCATTTAGGGTACTTTATGGTTATGGATGGAGGGAAGAGATATGCTGTATGTATGCATGGGTGGTAGGATATATGAGTATTATTTCTAATAGTGAATTATTTACAGTTTAAAGATGTATTGTCCCTTGCTAATGTCAAAAAATCATAAAAAAATAATTTTGAATAAACTTGCTCATATTGCAATAGCATACAAATTATTAACTTGTGCATAAAAATTATTGAACTTAAAAAATGTGTACCCTGATTTTTAAACCAAAAAATTATAATAAAAACAATAAAACACTTCCAGTGACTGGAAGTGTTTCTTTTATTTTTCGCTGTAAACTGATGGGTAGACATTTTTTAATACACTAATTTCTGTGTTCAAGTTGATAACTTTTATTTTACTTCAAAATGGGCAAGTAAATTTCAAAAAATATTTTTATGATTTTTTTGGTATTTAGCATGTGACAATACATCTTTAATGTGTGTTTGAATTGGCTTGGTAACAATTTAAACACACATCTTTAATGTGTGTTTGAATTGGCTTGGTAACAATTTCTGATTTATTATTTTATTGTAATCTGTGTATGTATTCATTTTTATGGATTATTGAAGACTTTCAACAATTGATTCAATTGATACTATTTTATATGGTATTAAAATTATGATTCACTCATATTCATTCTCTAAAAATAATTGCTTTTTGTTCAAGATATTCAATGTAACCATGTAGTTTGTAATGTGCTGCTAAATAAATACTGATAATTTGACATAATTTATTTGACATAGGGCTGTGACAAGCAAGCATTAGTTTGGGATATGAGGAATGGTCAGTGCGTACAGTCGTTTGAGGGACACCAGTCGGACATCAATGCAATCCGTTTCTTCCCTAGTGGAGATGCATTTGCTACAGCCTCAGATGATGCTACGGTCAGTTGTTTATACTCACGATCTGTTTATAATTATTGTTATAAATTACCTTCCCTGTTTAAGTTATGTAGCATCTCTGTGACAGTGTATTAGTAGACTGAGGTGTCGTCTGTGTACATGTGCACGATACTCACTCCATGATTTTGAAAAATCTGATAGAGAACATGGGCCCTATCAAAGAAGCTTGGGGTCCCTTCGCCCAAGGTGACAATTCATTTCCAAGCTTACATGTTGCTTTTTTAAAGAAAGGTATTTATTTATTTATTTAAAAAAAAAAATGACGTGGGCTAAAGCCCAACACAACAAGTGACATCTCTAAACCCCTGGCCAACAGCAATAAGATAAAATATATAAAAACATATAAAATACATCTTGCTTCCTTTCGTTTGGGTGTCACAAACCTAATAAACAAGATGGTCTTCAACTCAAAATGTACCCAATTATTCAAGTGAAACACCATGTTTTTTTCTTCATTGTCTATTGTCTTGTTCAATTGTGTTATATATATCATTATTATTTTTTGTTTTTACACATTTTGTATAATAATAGCAATCTTATTTCATCTCAGTTAAAGTAACACATTCATTTTACCAAGTTTTTGTTTGTTTTATTAATAGTGCCGTTTATATGATTTACGTGCTGATAGAGAGATCAATTGCTACGGCAAAGAAAGCATTATCTTTGGTGCAACGTCATTGGACTTTTCACTCAGTGGTGAGTAATCAAACAGTTTTAAAGCTTTAAAGCATAGCTCTGGGGAGGCTATTTTTTTTTTGCTCACGTTCTTATTCATGTTGTCATTGTTGTTGTCGTCGGTAGTATATTGTTTGTTACCAGAAATTAATAAACTGTTAATTAAATATCAGTATAAAGTACTGCTCGAATTGCATCCGTCATGAGCATACAACACATTATGCAATCCTTAAGTGAAGGGAGCCCTCTAACAAACCTCTTAAAAAAAACCAGTATTTGTTTCTCAAGCTCTCAAATCGCGAGGAATTTTGCATCTATTTAATCATCATATTCAGCTTTATAATTTAACATTTTGAGTGAATGTCAAAATACATATTAAACAAATATGCATGGAAGTTTTGTTTGAGTGAAATCCACAATCTAAGTATTTGAGAAGGTATAAAAACTATTAAATAATGAACTTGTGTAAGGCCTACATTGACATTAGACAGGCTTTGAAATTACTGCATTAGTGAAATTATTACAATGAAGCAAAATTAATCAATAACAAAAATAAAGTCAGTCTATTGTTTATGCATACCAATGGGTCTACGTTTAATATTTACATAAACCTGTGGCTTATTATCCCTCAACACAAATTCTGGACCTATATTGGTTGTTTTTGATTCATGTCTCTTACATGGTAAATTCTTTGCTGTGATGTATATTTTATTAAATTGTGTTTGCTAGATTTTTATCTAATTATTTCACAGGTCGTTTATTATTCGCTGGCTATAACGATTATTCGGTCAACATCTGGGACACGCTGAAAGCCACCAGGCTAGCAATGTTGAACGGTCATGAGAATAGGGTAAGCTGTCTGTGCATCTCCCCAGATGGCACAGCTCTGTGTACTGGAAGCTGGGACTACACTCTTAGAATTTGGGCCTAAATAAAAATGACAGTAGGGTGAGCTGTCATGCATCTGCCCCGATGACACAAACTTGTGCACTGAAAGCTGGGACTTCATTTCGGCCTAACTGACGGTTTTACCAACATAAAAATTTAACAGTTTCATATAGTAGGTGTATAGTTAGTGTTTTTATAGTACCAGGAGTCGCCTACAAAAAATCAAATGTGTGTATTGTGGATGGCGACATTTTAAGTTTATGTTTATTTCCTGAAAAGTACTGGAAAGATGAGGTGATGTACGAATTTGCCGATTTGTTTTAGGCAGCAATAAATAAACCCATCAAATTTTTAAATAGTATGCTATGTGGCAATTCCTCAAATAATGTGAAATGGTGTTCCTGTAAAGCAAGGAGCACACTATCAAATGTTTGTCAGGGTTTGTTCAGATATAATCTGATTCATAAAGCATTGACCAACTTCCAACAAACATGGAAATTTACACAACTTGTTTGGTCAGGTATTATATAGACACATCCAATTGTGAGTTCTTGAAAGGGGACCATTTCTGGGGACCTTCTTGGGCTCCCTCACACTCCCCCACACGTCTTGTTTATGTCATGTTTTGGCAAGTCTTTTGAATAGATAACAAAACACAGTACGTATGTCAAATTCCAGTATTTACATCAAACATTGTCCATTGTGTAGGCCAGATAAAAATCTGACAGATTAAAATCTGCTTATAGTTAAATTTTTATGTGTTTGGTAGGAAGTTGAAAGATCTTAGATATTTAAATAGTTGTTAAGATTTTTGATATTCATTTAGAAACAATGTGCAATTTCTTGTGGTATTTATCTTTGTATAGAACAATGATATATTATATGTATGTATGAAAGAAAATGATGAGAGTGTTCTAAGATTTAGCAATTATTAATACGATATTGTATCATATTTAACAGTGTAACTTTGAATAGATTTATGTAATGAGAATCAGCACAAGCATTGTATTAGTATGCCTAATTAAATAAGATTGGAAATGCTGTTAAAGTGAACGAATGCCCATCAGAAGATGCAGTCAGTAAACAAATGTTTATTAATAGCATTGCAATTAATAGAATGGACCATTTAGGTATATAGTACTCTTTTGTTGGGAACAATAGTTTTATATACATGTGTACATTATTAATAATGGGATGAAATAGACCCATCTTTTTGTTACCTTAGTTTTTACTTTTATTTTTTTTGTATATCAGTTGACACTTGATGTTGATTATTAAATATGTTTATTAATATATATTATGGTTATTTATAGTTATGTTAACATCATTCCCTTTTAGATTTTATTTTTCATGTTTTGTTGGTGCTTCGTTCCATCAGTTTTTGGTGCTTGAAATATAAATGAAAGTGATAGTTCATTTAATTATGATAACATATGTTGGAATTAGTTTTTTAAAGTACTTCTCTAATTATTGTCGACAGAATTTATGGAATTATTACACATTTTGAGACAACAAATGTAAAAATTCAGTGGTTTTTTCCTGAGCTGCATCGTCATAAAAGCACACCGAATAAAATTATATATATCGTATCTTAGCCAATCATGTGAGTGATCTTTAGGATGATTTATTTCAACAGGCAAATAAGGATAAATGTGTGGCTGGAGTTAATTATGACATCAACTTTTGGGAGATCCACTTTATTTATTTGTGATATGTATTAAAGTGTACAGGTGCAATAGTATTTTTATTAAATACCAGTGGGGATCCAGAACAGTAACATGGAAAATCCCCACCCCCAGACTTCCACCCTCGTCCACCCTCAGTTTGAATATAGTAAACAACCCAGCGAAAATTGTTTGAAGGCCAAAAAAAGGTCTACAAAACCTGTATATTATTAATTCTGTATCATACTGCAGAATATATGTAAGCCATTCTATCGAGTTAGGCACCTCTCTGTGTGATACCTGAGTTGTCTATTTTAGTGGGTGAGCTTTTTCTTATGTCTATTGTACTGCTAGGGGTTCATTTTCAAATGAAGATGGGGGCACATAGGCCCTTGGATTCAGTTTTTGAACCCATATCAGGAATATTTCAATTTTGGTGTTAAAAACTATGTGTATGGAGTAACATCGCTTTTACGATTCGAACTCTTATTAATATTCCTGAACAAACACACTGTGACCTGACTAATAATGATTTTGTCCAGACTACATTAGTGCATGTTTGTTCTATTAGATGTATTTGGTCAACTCTTCTAAGTAGATGAAATGAGTTGTAAGTATGTTATTTTACTTCATAAGTATTCAGTTTACTGTATCCATATATCACATGGGAACTTAAATTTATCAACTATTATACTATTTTTGTTTTAATGATTCGTAGAGATAAACCAAAATTTTACATATTACCTTTTGAAACTTTATGTTATAGAATCATTTTAACAGTCTGATGACCCTACCCTACATATATTTTACCTCAAGATTTCCACTGTTAACAAGTGCATGTTATTATTAAAGTATTTATGAATTTGACATTTTAAGACAACTTGGCATTTTTATTTTAGCATATTTTGTTGAGAAACATGCTGAGTGTTAATTTTCTATACAGGGCCCAATTTTGATTTATAAACCAACTCTCAGAATGGGAGATTTAGTAGGGAGGACACCGGCGGCTCCAGAAATTTTCTGATAGGGTGTCCGACATGTTCAGCAAGGTGATCGAACCAAATGGCCAACTAGAGCCAGGGTCTCAGAATGCAGAGTCCCTGGTAGGGTTAGCGGGAAGTTATGGCTTAGTATGTCAGCACAGAGGGATGGACCATTTGGTAAATAAGTAGGGCTTATGTATTCTACTAAAATACAGTATATATCGCAAGGACAAGCCAAACCAGTCACTCGTCGCAAATCCTGTTTCAGAGATATTGGCCAAAACATGCTGGAATATCAAATTTTTTTGAAATCTATTTTATTGCACTAAACTAACTTTTATTTTCCCCATTTCAATGTTAAAATAACAGTTTCTAACGATTTGGTGATGGTTTCTGCTTGAGAAGTGCCCAAAATCAAGGCTGATTTCTCAAATATTGTTCTTTAAACAGGTGTATGTTTAAACGGTTGTAACTTCTTAAGGAAATGTCGGATTTAAATTATTCTTTTACCATTTTATAGCAATCATTTTACTGTTGAACACTATTAATAACTAAAAATTGAATTTTGTTACGATTGACTTGGTTTGGCTTGTCTTTGCCACATATATTACTACTGCACCAGCGGAATTTACAATTATAATTTTTCCCTAAGTTTAATAAATGTTTCATAAATATATATATTTATTTGCATGCTGTATTAACAAGTTCTATTATATGTAGATTGTATTTATGATTTGAGATGGTATTAAAATTCAATCATCTTTGACAAATTTATGGAACTGTACGTGCTGTGTTACTTTCTGTTAATATCTTGTTTTATATTAATTGAAGGATATACTGTCCCATGAAAAATACCAAAATAAATCACTAGATTTGAACTTGTCGCTAAGGACAAGTTTGGTGATCCGCCGTACTTTGACCCTCAGGAAGCGCGTGCGGTGCAGGTTGAAAAGTTTTATATGCTAAAATATGCTCTAATTAGTTTTAAAAAAGAGTAATTTTGAGCATTTTAAAAGATTTAAGCATGCGTACACGCGCACGTCTTGATGCCCGTGAGCTCGGTAATGGCACAAAATGTTGACTCCTGTTATGAATATCGTGTCAGAAACCCAAAATATGTAACCAGAGATAGGCCTGACACCTGTCACGCCAAAATTGGTCCGGGCTAAAATTGATCCGGGGGACCGATTTTAGCCGCTAAAAGTTGTCCGGAGGAATGATTTTGGCCGGCCAAAATCAGTTCTTGGATAATATTGGTCCGACCTGGACAAATTTTGGCTTAGCCTAAATCGATCCGCCTGCACCTGCTAAGTGCTACACTATACGAGTTCGTACACAACCAATTACAGCACAGTGAGTGCTTACCTATCAGTCCGCATAGATTTTGAGGGAAAAAAGCTTTTGGTAGGAAATTAGAAATTGAACGACCAATGAAAATGAAGGTGATGGGTGAAGTCCAATCTTGAGCCTATTTTGCATACATCGCCGTATATAAGGCTAAGCAGCTGTATGCCAAGGAATTCATTTGATAGCAGAGGCTCTACACAGGGTTGGAACGCCGCCTTCAGCGGCGAGTGCGAAGCACAACTCAGGGTCAAAAGTGGAACGTGAAATTTGGATATGGTTTTGTAGTCAGATTTGCGAGAAAAACTTCAGCTACCCGTATTTCTCGGCTGAGACGTCAGTGGGAGCTGTAATTTGTATGGCAAGGAGATTGAGCAACCCTTCATTCATATTAAGGAAATTTACGCCCAGAAACTTTGTAGTTAATTATATTTTGATTATAATAGAAAATACTCATTTTTTGGTGACGTCACACTTACATTAGTTAGCATGCATACGTCATAAGCTAGATACGTCACCTTTTCTTGGTAAGGCAAACTTTCCCGGCGTGCTTTTATGGATAAACAAACACCACTGCTTTGCACATGGATGCCTTTGCCCAAGCCAGGGCTAAGAGCCGCATTGTTAGCATTTTATAATACCGTACTTTAAATAGGGTACCTCTGCAAATGAATTATTCTTAGTTATTTTTTTTCTTATTTTAATTTATTTCTTCCGAAAGTGTACTTTCTATCACATATAATTCCACTGTCTTAGCTAGGCCTAGTCTTATATGCCTCATCGTCCCCGCTACACAGTACATCAGCAGCCCCTCCCCCATACAGTACAGACGTTTGCTAGGTAACAACGTGATTGCACCTTCCTTCTCAGATGTTCATGTAACATTGACATAATTGTTAGCTAACCAGTTGTGTGTATTTCTTTGTGAAAATGAGTACCGCGGCGTACTTATTTTCACAAAGCATTTGCATCCCCTCTTGGAAAGAGGGATTCGAAATAATTGTCACCATATCTTCGCTAATTAAATTAATCACCGTAATTTAGCTTACACTTATGAATTTAGGGAGCACTTAAAATGTGAAATAATCATTTCACTACCCGACAAACTCCGAACTTTATTCATTCGTTAGCTACATAATAGTTTCATATTGCTGTACTATATACTCCAACATCACTGGAGCATGCATGTAACAACCAACTGACTGCAGACCATTTCCGGTCACACACTACTCTCCATAACACAGCACCCCCTAGTTCCGTCACCTCTGGGTTTGGTTAGTACAGTACAAGAAGTAAAAGAAAGATTGTGCTTTCTTTTTAGTTTCAGGGGCGGGTGATGTACACCTTACAAGGAAGATATAATTAGTTGACATTTTAGTAAGTCGACATCCATTAATTAAAGTGCTGAAAACAAGGAAAAAATAATGATCCAACAGCAGGGAATATCGTTGTATACAGTGTATTATTATTCAACACACATTCACCCCCCTCTTTCTACCAAATATATAACAGGCATGGTTTAGAAGGGGGTATGGTCGTTTATCCTTGTCCCTGATTTAAAAAAAATAAAATAGAAAAAGAAGTAATTGGTCGCCTAATACGCCTCAGAGGTTATTTTCGGTCGTCCAGAGAGTACAGGAAGACACTGCTGTGGAAAACATTAACTGGATATATGGACATACTGTATATATATGTAGCTCTCTATATAATAATAATAATAATAATAATTTCCACCCAGGTTCTTTCAGCTACAAAATGAAACAGCAAGCAACAAATCATATGGAATCCAATATAAAATACACTATTTATTAAATCAAGGGAAAATTGACACATTTATATTTTACAACTTTGTTGATAACAATCTGCCTAGCAACCAGTTTATCGATAAATTTCCTTGACCAATCATCACAGCGAAATGCAATTGATAGGGGCTATTCTTTATTTCAACCAGTCAAAGAAATCGGAAGCGGAGTTAATGCGAATCAATTATTTTATGTTAATAAAAAAAACTACTCTTCACCTATAGGTTAAAAAACCATAAGGGTCACTATAGTGAAAATTATCAAATATTGCTAGTGACTAAACCAATTGCATTAGACAGTCTCTTACTAAACATGGGGTGTTCACAGGTTGAGGTTGAAGGTAGCAGTGGTTATCTCTTAGAAAATGACTGGGTTCATGCTCTATTGAACATAGTATCTCTAGTTCTTTCTTTCTGGCAACATTTTAAAAGGCTACTAGTGGCAAACTAAGATGTGTATAAGAGACAGATATATGCTATGTATAATCGTGTGTGTGGTCATCACCCAAAATGCATGCATGAGAAACGAAAGATACATAAGATTGACTTGATATATAACATAAGCAATGTGCAGGGAAGTATACTGTTACGTTTTTTATTTCACACACACACACACACACACAATAAACTATCTTTAACAACTAGTATATATCTGTGTACTCTAGAGCCTATATAGCTAGGTTTTCCCTTATTCTTCCACGTGCACAAACCCTCGAAGCCTCTGCTATCAACAAAAACCAAATACTGTACTGTACATCATGACCGTAAACTCTTATATAGTGTGATGTATGCAAATTTAGGCTTCAGCGATGGACATCATTGTGATTGTGATTGGTGGTTTGAAATCAGCGTAGCGGAATCAACATGTTAAATTTCAAAAACCCTTTCACGAATCACCCACCCTCTCTTTCTACTAAATATGAGGCGTGGATTTTGAAAGGGATATGGTAGTTGGTCCTGTCACTGAAAAAAACCCTCGAAACCTCTGCTATCAACAAAAGCCAAATACTGTACTGTACATCATGATCTTAAACTCTTATATAGGGTGATGTCTGTAAATTCAGGCTTCAGCGATGGACATCATTACCCAGTCAGCAGCATGCTGAATGGGTTCTGTTTCCGAGCAATTTCTTTCTTTACCCAGTCAGCAGCAGCTGACTGAGTTCTGTTTCTTAGCAGTTTCATCTTTCTTTACCCAGTAAGCAGCATGCTGACTGGGATCTGTTTCCTAGCAGTTTTTTTCTTTACCCAGTCAGCAGCGGCTGACTGGGTTCTGTTTCTTAGCAGTTTCTTCCTTCTTTACCCAGTCAGCAGCAGCTGACTGGGTTCTGTTTCTTAGCAGTTTCTTTCTTTCTTTCTGGCAACATTTTAAAAGGCTACTAGTGGCAAGCTACTGGACCGGTTTTATTAAAACTTGGTCAGTAGGACCGGTGCCATCTCCCATTTATGTGTTGTTCACAACTTGGGGTCAAAGGTCACATAAGGGGCATTAGGGTAAAAAAAATAAAAGACTAGTTGTGTCACAAATAACGTAGCACAGTCTTGTCCTTTGTACATATACATTGGCATAAGGCAGGGTCTATAGGTTGTTCAGAGATAAGGGATCAAAAGTCATTAAGGGGTAATTTTTATCTTTTTTCTGGCAACATTTCAAAACGCTACTAGTGCCAAACGGTTGTGCCGATTTCAACCAAACCTGGTCAGTATAATCGGTGACACCTCTCATACATGGGGGTGTTCGCTGCTTGGGGTCAAAGGTCACATAGGGGTCATTAGGGTAAAACACTTTCAAAAAAATGGATAAAAGACTTCTGTCACAAATAACACAGTCTTGTCCTAGGTACATATGTATTGGCATAAGGTAGGGTCTTTATGGTGTTCAGCGATTTATGGTCAAAGGTCATTAAAGGGTTATTCTTTCGTTCTCTCTAGTAACATTTCAAAATGCGCACTAATGGCAAACCATTGGACCAAATTCAATCAATTTTCGTCATTAAGAACCGGCGACACCTCCTACACCCCAGTCTGGGATCAGGGGTCACATAGGGGTCATCGGGTTCAAATTTACCAGAAATGATCCTTAGGACCTTCTAAACACAAACAATACTCTTTACCCATATGTCAAAGTTCATAGGTCAAAGGTTTAAAATGCTACGTCTAATGTCAAACGATTGAACCGAATTCAATCAAATTTGACCATTAAGAACCAGTGACACCTCCTACACCCCTGTCTGGCATCAGTGGTTACATAGGGTTCATCGGGGTCAAATTTTCAAAATAGCCCAATTGAGCTCGAATTTACCAGGAATGATCCTCTAAACATGAAAAACTACTCTTCATCTATAGGTAAAAATTCACAAGGGTCACTATAGTGAAAATTATCAAGATTAACGATTGGATCAATTGCATTAGACAGACTTCTACCAAACATGGGGTGTTCACAGGTTGAGATTAAAGGTCACAGTGGTTATCTCTTAAAAAATGACTGGGTTCATGTTCTATTGAACATAGTATCTAGTCCTTTCTTTCTGGAAACATTTTAAAAGGCTACTAGTGGCAAACTACTGGACCGATTTAATTAAAACTTGGTCAGTAGGACCGGTGCCACCTCCCATTTATGTGTTGTTCA